GTGACTCGGGGCTGCAGGAGCCCAGAGGCGGCTCAGGCTGCAGGATGGGACCCAGGGGAGCCGGTGGCAGCCCCGGGGGGCTCGGCAGTGGGCTCTGGACACTGCCCCGTCCTCCTTGCCATGAAAAACGAGGGGCAGCGGGGCCGCCTGTGTGAACTCGCAGATCAATTACGTTTTGGCTGCCCTGAAAGCAACGTGATGACTGAATTCCTGAGAAAGAAAACAGATTGGGAAACAGATGATTGCTCAATGCACCTGCTGGTGAGTCAGAGGCACAGACCCGGCAGGCTCCCTCTGCAGAGAGCGGCAGCCAGGAGCGACCCAGGGGCACCAAACCCTCGCTCCGGCAGAGAATTCGCACTGAGCCCTGGCCTGGAGCATTGCCTGGGGCAGGGAACTCCGAGGGCTCTGGGCTGGGCTGGCCAGAGCTGCCCCAGCCAGCCCTGGGGACAGGCACGGCCAGGACAGGGGTGGCTGTGGCTGGGGGCTCACAGGGACGGGAACAGCTCAGCAGCTTCACCACTGGAGCTGCCTGGCACTGCCAGCCGACACCCGGCACAGGAGGTTCCCCCAAAGGAAAATAACGTGGATAAAGCACATGAAAAGGCAGCTCAGACCCAGCTGCACATCTCACTGCAGACACACAGCCTCCAAACAGCGTGGAGGAGTTTTGGAGAGCAGACACGAAGTGACTGATAGCGGCTATGGGGAGAGCTCCATACAGGCGGCAGCAGCGGCCCGCCAGAGGGAATGTTGATAGATAGAGGCTCAGGGAACCCCCCAAAGCATTTATAGGGGACGTTTATAGGGATTTTGGTGAATTCCCTCCAGCTCTCTCGTGTAAGCTGCTCCTCTTCCCTCTCTATCTGTGCATCTATTTTAGGATGAAGCTTTCACTTCAGCACAGATGTTCAGAACTGGGTTTCGTGCAGTAAAGATCTGTTCACATTTTTTCCTTTTTGCACCAGAAACCACGAATTGCAGAGCTGGAGGCAGCAGCAGCAGGCAGAGCCGGTGACACTCTGGGCGTGTTTCCCCCTTTGCTTACGGCTGCCGGTGCCACGGGCACGGTGGCCACAGTGACAAAGCCCTTGGCCACCGTGCGGGGCTGTCCCCGGCAGCAGCCCCGGCTGTGCCACCGCTGCCACCCCTCGGGGCAGCCTCGGCCCCGAAGCGCCGCTGTCACCGGAGCCTCTGCCCGGCCTGCCGGCCAGCTCCGGGCAGAGAAGGCGAGCGGGGAAAGCGAGGGCCGGCATCGGAAAAAGGGTGGGAAATCACGCGCTGGGTTCAACAGATTTCTCTCCAGAGTGAGGCTTCGGCTCGGAAGGGGAGGATGTGA